CACTTTAGGAGTTAGTTTGGCAGTTTCAAACCTTGGAAGCCACCAAGAATTCCTTAAATATGTGAATGAACAAAGTGTGGTACATTCATACAGTTCATACAATAGAATATTTATTTGGTGACACTTAAAAAATGAGCTGTCAAGTGATGAAAGACATAAATGCATACTACTAAGTGATAGAATCCAGCCTAAAAATATAGCTTGTGTGATTCCAATTTATGACATTTTGGAAAAGGCAAACTATAGAGACAGTAAAAATATCAGTGGTTGACTGAGTTTGAGGAGAAAGGGAGAGGGATGAACAGGTGGAGCACAGGGCATTTTTAGGGCAGTAAAATTATTCTGTATGGTGCTCTAATTGTGGCTACATGACACTGTGCTTTTGTCAAAACCCATAGCAATCTATAATAATAAAAGTGTAATATGCTAAATTGACCGGACGTCCTTCTGGACAAAGCCGGGGCTGCATGGGAAGCCCGGGTCCCAGGTGCCTGCTGGCAGTGGAGGGAAGGAAGGCCTACTCTTGCATGGATTTCATACATTGGGCCTCTAGTGTATAAAATAAAGCGCAAGCCATAATGTATAAACTGTGGACTTTAGTTAATAATAATAAATCAATATTGGTTCATCAGTTGTTTTGAATCAAAGCAAGATGTTAATAACAAGAGGGTTTCTCAATGGTGGAATTCAGGTGGTGGGTATATAGGTAAAAACTGCAAAATTCTTTCAGCTTTGCTGTATATTTAAATTTTTCATAGTAAAATTTGGGAGAAATGTTTTTAAATGGAAGTAAATGCCTTGGAGCACAGTGCTAAGGACACCTCTTTAACCTACAATGTGTGTAAGAAAGCAATACCGAGAGTTACACTTGGGGCTTAGAGACAAAGAAGGAACTTGTCTGGCATAAAAAGAAGAGAAAAATAATTCAAAAAGAAGAAAGGCTTCTGTAAAAGCATGAACATGTGAAATAACATGGAGTGTTCATGGAACTATGAGTGTTATAGGGGGAGTATGAAGAGCTGGATGAAGAGACAAGCAAGGATTCAATTCTGAAAAGCCTTATTAAATAAGCCTTGCATATTTAAGATGTCAGAAGTCTTTACTATGTAGAAGATAAGGAGCCAATACATTCATTATTTAACAAAATTCTATTGAATATTGTGGAAGACAGACCCAAAGGCCCATGTTTATGCCCTGCATAATCCTCAATTGCCTCCCCTTGAGTGTGGGTGGTACCTGTTACTTGCTTCTAACAAATAGAATATGACAAAAATTAGGTGATGTCATCCCCATGATTATGCTTATATATATGCCTCCACCTTGCTAGTATGCATAAGAGAGATTCTTCCCACTGGCTTGAAACAAGCAGCCATGCTGAGAAAGCCCACTTGGCAAAGAACTGTGGGTGGGTGGCCTCTTTGTACTAAGGACAATCTTAAGGAACTTGAGGGCAGCATTCAGTTGATAGTCAGAAAAAAGCGAAGGTTCTGTGTCTCTGTGTCAGAGGACCATAATGAATGGATTTTGCCAACCACCTGAATAAGCTTAGAAACAAATTCTTCCCTGGAAACTTCCTAGACCTAAAGAAAAGACCCAGGTAAGGTTTACCTGGACTTCTGACTTACAGAAACTGTGAGATAATGTTTTGAGCTGTTCAATTTGTGGTAAGGCTTTTATGCAGCAATAGAAAACTCATACATATGGATATTGTGTGCTGTTATTAGATATTGATGATTTAATATTGAGAGAGATGAGAATTGTATTCTCATAGATCATAAAGACTAATAGGGAAAACAGGTGTAATAAGACTTGCCACTGTGATTGTCACAATGAGGAAAGTAAAGAAAGAGAGAGAAACACATAGAAGTTTTCCCATGTAAGGTTAAGAAGAAGACCTCCTTGAGGAAGTGATGCTTGAGGCTTGAAGGATGAGTGGAATTTAACCAAAGGAAGACATAGTGGAAGAAATCTCTGGGAAGATGAACCAGGGCTCAAAAGAGAGAAAATCACATAGAAGAGTATGAATAGAGATAGAGAAGAATTTTACAAAACATAACTTTCAGTAATTGTCAAGAACTTCTCATGAAGAAGACAGAGGAGGCAATGAGGGAGTAGATCAAGAAAGAATGTCCTTGGGCTCTGTAATTTAGATGGGTGAGGCTTTATCTTGCTTAAATGGCAACTGAAGAAGTCAATAGATTGAGGGAGTTGAAAAATGAGGCAAAGGAGAGATAATCAATAAAGCAAGTCCATGAGGAAGTCAGATATCAAGGTGGAAAAGGAAGCTAAAAATAGTGGGCCTCACTTCCAGGAAGGATGGGGGGGGGGGGGGGAAATGAATAAGAAAAAAACAACTGTTTGCAGGTTGGATGGTGGGAAGTGGCATGAGGTATCTTTTGATGGTTTTTCCAGCCCTCTACTCCCAGAGGTCATCTGCTGAAGGTGAGAATTGAGGCTAGAGGAGAGAGGAGGATGACCATTATGGAGAATTACACAGACAGTGGACTGGGAAAATACAGGGTTGCCAATAAGCATTGAAGACATAATTTCAGAGTTATAAAAAGTGATCAGAACAGGAAGTGTTGGACAGTGAATCAGAAGCAGGAAGCATGGAGAAACTATAAATGAGGCTGCTAGAGAAGGATTATAAGATAAAGAAACAAATAAGATAAGAAACAAAGTTGAATGAAATTGACTAGTGTCCAAATTTGAGATAATTTTTGTGTATGTGAGAGGATAAAGCTGTGGGTCTTAGTCAGAACGCAGATTTATTTGGGGGAGCACTTTGGTAGGGGATAAAAAGTATCCAGGCTCAGAGTATATCAATGTCCAAGAACTAACCTACCACTGCAATCCCTACTGTCATACAGATTCACTGTCTCCCTCATAAGATGGCTCTCTAAACCTCTTCATTCTTTATAGAGTATCTTTCTCCAATGGCATGATTCTCTCTACCCCCATCTCACTGACCCTCTCTGTTTCTCTTTGCCCATGTCACATTCCCCCCCCCTCCCCCATGTAACTCCATGGCCTCTCAGAAAGAACTCTGAATCCCAACTTGTGTGTTACTTGGAATCCTCTCAATTCTGTATTTTTAGGTATCTTGGTCAATGGGTCTTGGATGCTGTACATCTCCCCACTATATGCCACTACGAGAGGACTAAGCACCAATCATAACTCTTCATAATAGCACAAAACTCTACCAAAGTATGCAGCTGTTACCCATAAATATAGGTCTCCCTAGCTTTCACTACCAAGATGTCATTTGAGATCCAGAGCTTTGTCTCCAGCTGTCTGTTAGAAATGATGGTCTACATGTCCTACAAGGATGCCAAAATAACATGCCTCATTTCTCCTAATTCATGTCCATGCTCCTGATCCTTTATACATGAAAGCATTGGTTCTGTTTATATTATCTTTGAGAAGCACCACCTACCCAGTTGCCCAAGTCAGAAATTTGGGTGTTATCCCAGACACTTCCTTCTTTTTTCTACTCACAGTCAATACATCCACAGATGTATTGTATAGAGGTCAGGAATCACAGCATGAGTTCTTAATATCATTTTTTAATTGGATGCTTTTTATTTGGATTTTGTTCCAGAATAAGAAAGCTCAAAGGAGTTGGGGATCCAGTGTAGAAGTCATGAAGATGTTGCACTGAGGGGATGGAGGAACAGAGGAGCCTCAGTTGCTGTTTATGATTTTTAGGATCCATCTTGCATAGGGATGAATTTCAGTGAAAAATCCTTCACTTCCCATAGTGACACTTCCTTTTGCCCAGGACAAGATTCCATGCAATTTCCCATTGCAGATGGCTGGAGCAGCTGAAACTTCCTGCCAGCGAGAGGGAATAGGAGGTCAATGTTGCTTAGTCCTCATGGAACAAGAATAAATCCCAAAAAAGTTGCACATTATAGTAGCAGGGACATTTAAGGGAATGGACTCATTTTTCTTTAGAAGTAACAACCCTCTCTTAATATCCACATAGGTCTCACCTCTCTTGGGTCAATTTTGGCCCAACCTGAGAGCAAGCAGGTGAAGAAAGGACAAATGGTTCTTCCCAGAATCTCTTCTACTCTAAAAGATGGGAAGGGGGACTCATGACAAACCCAGAAACGGTGTGTGTGTGAGGAGGAGACTTCAGGCCTTTTGGATGAGTACCATTTACTTTCTCACAATCATCTCTCCTCATCACAGACCCCTTGCTATCTTCCTGCCCAGAGAAAGAAAAGATACCTTAATTTCAGATATGGTTTCCAGAGGTTGTCCCACACACATGATGTTGACTGTCATTCTGTCACCTAGCATAAAGTTACACTTATGGAAGGGAAGAGAATGTTGATTTGTCCAAATTAGGATGTCAGGGTCACTCACTGAGGGAAAGAGAAGAGAAATCAAGTCCAGTGTTACTGTCCTTATCACATATACTCTTGTGATCATCACCAATTTTGTAAATGCATTGATCCCTGAGAATATTCATTGCCAGTAGTGAACATTCCATCCTTCTCAGCATTCCTTGTTCATGTCTCTGTGTTAGAGCAGTGGATTCAGAGCATTAAGTCCTCCTTACATCAGACATCAGGTCCGTGGTTCTCTCTCCACTATGCATACATTAGAAACCCTTGAAAACTCATGAGAAAACTATGTAATCATGAGAAGAAATGGACACAAAAACTGTCTCCAAGAAAACTTGCTTTTTGGCACCTACTTCATCTTCTTTAAATTTAGTCATAAAGGGAGAAAACTATTTTTAATATGTTTAAAACCATTTTTAAATGTTTATTTATAAATGGGTTATTTATGTGTATGTGTGTATATGTGTAAAATATACACATATATTTTCCCCTAAGTAGTTATATTATTCTCCTACTATATCTCTACTACAGCAATTGTTACTATCCTGCCAAAAAGAGGATGCAAGGACTCTAACCAAGATATTATATAATTTTAATCTTTGGTAGTGAATAGCAAGGAGAAAACAAAAATTGACCAAACATTGTTCAAGCTAAGCCTAGTGTTATTTATAGAGCAGGATTTTTCTCATGGAGTGTATTCAATATAATGTCCTAAAGTATTAGACCAGAAAGTGTTGGGTCAGAAGAGAGAGAAGTTATGTTCAGTTTTAAATTTTAATGGGAATTGAATTGCAATACGTAGAACAAATGAGATGAAAGTAATCTTGTTACTTGAAACAATGAATAGCTATTGGGAGCCTTGCACCAGAGAGCTTATAGAATTAGTTTGTCATTGTGTTCCTGACCTGCAGAGTCTATGTGATAAAATCTTCATATAGTTTTATTTTGTTTTCAAATGGTATGTAATAAATTACTTTGGTAAAATGTGATGTAATTACTTTGGATAAGACTTATAAAGTCAAAGATAAAAATCATAAATTTTTAATTTGTTCAGAAAATGTATTTACTTAGATTCCCAGGAATGTTGCTTCTAAATTGAAAATGAAGATGTCAAATATGATGAATATAAAAGTTCCTACTTTTATTTGTTTTTACAAAACAGAATGATTTTTAAAGTTCTCACTTTTTGTTTTTACAGAACAGATGGATTGTTCTGTAGCCACCAGTGGGGTTTAAACCTGATTAATATCCATGACAATTTGCCTCAGTGGACACAGCTTTGGCAAGCTAATCAATCAGTGTCACTTTTAAAGTCAGCCAATTAGAGCCCCCTCCAAAAGACATGACTCAGAGTGCCAACCAATCAACAACCTCACTCAAGTAACCATGCTGCTACAGATGATGTCAACTCTCTTAAGCCTCTGAAAGTCTTCCAATCCCTGTCCAGAAAGCTTCCAACAACCACCCCACCAAAAGCCCAGTACTCTGATCTGCTCAGCAAGACTGTGCCTGCTCAGCATTGCTCTTCCTAACTATAATAAGCCATAAATTTAGCTTTATCATTTCATTTTAGATATTGAATATTGATTCCATTATCCCTTGACAATACTTAAAGAGAACAGAATGGTTATTAGCAGCCATATGAAGTAAAAACCACCAAGGACCAACAAATGTATAAGAAAGCAACTTTCTTCATAAAATGCCCTTGATAAGATGTGATACTGCAGAGCTCAGAAGGGAGAGGGATGTGTGCCTGCAACATGGGTTGTGGCAATTTTTCCAATGCGTGCCAGGCCAGAGAGACACTCAGAGACACCCAGAGCATGTCATAATAATGAACTCCTATGCACCCTCCTAGTCTCCACCCCTACGTGGGAACTATTAGATGGAGCAGTAGGTCTAAGAGTAGTACTCTCTTCATTGAAACAGCTCCGGTGACAGAAGAGAGGGTTCTCTCAACCACTACTTACCCCTTCAGGTCCACTTGAGTGAATCATCATCAAGATAGGTTGGTTGTCCATGGTTGGGTGTGGGAAGCAGCCTCGGTTGCCTTCCTATAGCACACGATTTGTTATGGTTTTCCCACTGCTGTCTCATTAATTGCTTGGTGGACTTTCAGTAGCTGTCCATGAGACAGCAAGCCACCCTCCTACAACGTGCCTTGATATTGTCTTTACAGTAATATAATATATTAACCCACCTTTGTTTAAATTCAGTTCCTGGGATCTTGGTTCTACAGATGGAGTAATAACTGCCTGCTTCATTTGTTGATGTCTTATGCCCTCTATCAGTCTCTTTGATTTTTATCTTTTGGCCTCTAATCTTGGTATTATTAGATCCCGAAAGCAATCTCTCTAAGATCAAGACCATTACCTCATAGGCCCTGTTTCCTTTAAGTATATCCCTCTATGTTTTCCCCAGCTCAAAGAACACAGTCAAACACTTACAGTTTTTATAGTCATTCCAACTCCAGGTTGGGATAAAGCAGGAATCATTAGTTGATAAAGATTCCAAAGCTATGGCTATGGTTCCCACATAGGTGTTGAGCACAGCAGCCTTGGACAGTTTTATCATCATCAGGTCATTTTCCAAAGTTTGTGCATTGAATTTGGGGTAGGGCATGGTCAATGTGTTATTCCGTATCTGCTCTTTCTTATGTTTGACGCTGGGTTGATGAACTCCCAATCGAATTTTAACTCTTTGGAAAAAAGAGGGCAGAGAGGTGGAAAAGAACAGGGTCACAGAATGTCAGAACTGCAAGAAATGTCAGAGGTGACTTTCTACAATCATCTTAATTTTACCTCTTAGACCTGAGAACTGAAGTGACCTGCCTTGGTCTGTAAAATAGTGATAACAATAGTCTACAGGATTGTCATTTTAGAGTCAATGTATATAATAAATGCTTGGTATCTGGCACCTAGACCATGCCTGTACAATCTAGTTGTTGTGATGATGATGATGATGATGATGATGATGATTTGAATCATCTGAATGATCAGGTAACAGAGTTGGCACCACAGTCCATATGTCTCAAGCAACTCTTGAGCAAGCATATTGTATCATTTGTTTCTAGATATTCTTAGGCTCCTCCCAAGCTCCTCTCACAGATATTATATTTACCATGTGCCACCTACATTGATCATAGAGTCACAAGACTCTTAGTAGGCTATTAGGACTCCCATTTATCATTTTCCATTATACTCCCTGGACTAATTCAAACCCACTCTCTTGCAATGCCAGAAATCCAGTCATGCACCTTACCTCTTAGACCTGAGAACTGAAGTGACCTGCCTTGGTCTGTAAAATAGTGATAACGTAGTCTACAGGATTGTCATTTTAGAGTCAATGTATATAATAAATGCTTGGTATCTGGCATGGTATCTGCCACCTAGACCATGCCTGTACAATCTAGTTGTTGTGAGGATGATGATGATGATTTGGATCATTTGAATGATCAGGTAACAGAGTTGGCACCACAGTCCATCTGTCTCAAGCAACTCTTGAGCAAGCATATTATATCGTTTGTTTCTAGATATTCTTAGGCTCTTCCCAAGCTCCTTTCACAGATATTATATTTACCATGTGCCACCTACATTGATCATAGTCACAAGACTCTTAGGACTTGCATTTACCATTTTCCATTATACTCCCTGGACTAATTCAAACCCACAGTCACAAGACTCTTAGTAGGCTATTAGGACTCCCATTTATCATTTTCCATTATACTCCCTGGACTAATTCAAACCCACTCTCTTGCAATGCCAGAAATCCAGTCATGCACCATTCCCTACTAAGCCATTCCCTACTAAGGACACTTCATGCATTAGATGTGGCTGAGAAAAAAATATCAGCATTTCCAACTCCAGTTCTTAAAGGTGATGAACTGTCTTTATTTCCTTTGTATTTCTTATAAAGTTCAGATCAAGGGTTCAATCTGTTTTCTAGTGGATTTTCTTAAATAACTAGGTCACTGAGAATTCTGAGTTTGAAATGACCCTTGTGTACCCATGAAACTCTGAATAGGTCCCAAGCACACAACACATTCTGACCCAATTACAACAGAGACTCTGAGAATTATAAGGAATAACATTATATTGTGCAGTGCACTCTTGCCTTCTCCTGTATTACATGGCCTGCCGAACACTTTACCCTCATTTTTTGAACATCCCCTGTCTTCATTACACTCAGCTAACAACTGGTCTCTCAAATACCTTTACTACATCAGACACTCTACTCCCCAGCCTTTATTTACTTGGCTGCCTCCTCTTCATCCCTGTGGGTTTCATCTCTTCAAAGATGCCTCACATGACCACCTAACTAAAGCATTCTTGCTTATTACAGCTTGACACTCTTTTTATGTTTTCTTTTTGGCCACTTATTTATTTTGGCTTACTTCCTCTACCAGAATGTAAGATCTATGAGGGAAAATTTATTTCCATCTTATTCCCTTCCAGTTTTCTCAGTGCATTAAGCAGTCCCAGGCAAATGGTAAATGTTAAATAAATACATTGAATGAAAGCATATTATTTGTTCTCCATGGGAAAGAGTCTTTTGACACCTTCCTATCAACTTCCTCTTAAACTGATAAATGTGTATGATTTTCCCCATTGGGAAGAAGATCTTTCCTCTTCCTGGGTTCCTTTAAATTCCCCAGGATGTCATTAAAACTGGCTGGAATGCCTCATCAGACCTACTTTTGTTTAAATATATCCCTCCTGGTTTCCAAGAGCAAAAGGATACTTACGGTAAGGGGCAGTGAGCAGCGGTCAGGACCCACTCCGGGTGAATGAGAGACCCCACACAGGGCTCTGGACTGGACTTCAGATAGACCATGTAGGGAATAGTAAAATCTTCTGATAAGTTTGACTTTTCAATTTCAGAATATTTGGCCAGAATAATTCCTAAATAATTGATGGAGAAAGAGAGACAAAGAGGTTGAGAAGTGAGGATTGGCTAGGGCAGTGGTTGGCAAACTGCGGCTCACGAGCCACATATGGCTCTTTGGCCGCTTGAGAGTGGCTCTTCTACAAAATACCACGTGCGGGCACACACATACAGTGCGATTGAAACTTTGTGGCCCATGTGCAGAAGTCGATATTTTGTGGAAGAGCCACACTCAAGGGGCCAAAGAGCCGCATGTGGCTCGCGAGCTGTAGTTTATCGACCACTGGGCTAGGGTAATGTTTCCCAGCCTCAGATTTTTCAAAGATAAAATCAAGGTCTTTAAATTATATTAAATATATATGTCTTAAATCAGGGGGAATCAACTATGTCACTCAAGTTATGTTTATTAAAGAAACTGACACATGTCTTTGCCAGGCATAGAAGTAAAAAATGAAATATTCCCTGACTTTGCAGCTGAAAGGAATGGGAAAGCTTGGGGTAGGGCCATGAGGCTTCCAGAGCCTCTGACCAGTCCACCTTCCTTTCCTGTGCTCACTCTTCTCAAGTCCATCTGCCCACATAAAGGGAAGACATGCTTTTCCTGTGGTTGTCCAGGAAACGTGGCAATCTAGGAAATCACACACTCAAGACTAGAGCACTTATTAGTGACATGTCCTAACATGCTTCCAGGCCTCAGAGGGCTTGGGGAGAGCATTGATGGGATGAGCTGTGCATGAGAGTTGGTTCCTTTTGTTTCGTCAACAGTTCATTGAAAGAAATGCCCTCAGCTTCCTATCTCTTCAGTGTGGTTAGCTACTTCCCTTTCTGACACTTCCCTACACCACCCCATCTCCCTCAAGGTTGCAACAAGGGTCCAGACTCTCACCAGCTACACTCAGGAGAATGAAGATGAGACAGCACTTCATGGTGGGCCACGATCTCACCAGGAGCAGACAAGCTGGATCAAATTGGAAATGATCCCAACCTTCAGTCTAAGTGTCCCTGTCAAGAACAACTGGGGGAGGGATGGACATTAATTTGGGGTTGGAGGGAGAAGCAAGGATCTTAGAGTAGTCTTCAAACTAGTCTTTATCAAAGCTGAGAACTGTCTCTGCTGAGGGTGACAGACAGGAAGGAGCAGACCCAGTCAAGACCCTGGTGCCTCTTCTCTGACCCTAAAAATCTCAGGAGTCCTGAGGTGTCTACTGACATTTCCCCACCCCTCTCTATGACATAGCCCTTCTCTGTTGGCCCCTCCTCTCTTTGTGACCTCCAACCTCTCTTCCTGCCCTCACTTGTCACCTCCTCTTTTCGAGAGTCCCTCATAGAGCCATTCTCACAGACTCATCAAACACTGGGGTAGAAAACACGTTTAAGAAATCATCCCCCCTCCCTCATTTTAGAGATGAGGGAGCTGGGTCTTCATGGAAGTTAGTGGCAAAGCCAGGACTTGGAACTGAGTCTACAGATTTCCTCTGCCAGATTGAACTTTATCTGAGCCCTGTGCTCCCAAAATACAGCAGTGGGTAACAATAACCCTGGGAATCTTGTATTTTGGGAAATGCTACCCTTCCCCACGTGAGTTAGAAGAGACTTCCTCGTGGCACCCATAAGACTTTGGATGACTCCCTGGTTACCTGTGACAAGGTCAAGCACAGACCTTTCCCCTTTTGCCTGAACTAGACACTGACCCTCCAACTCTCCATTCTGAGCTTAAAAAGTGTTTTCCTTATGAAATTATCTAAACTGAAACAGCTGACCGAGAAGTCCCCCAACAGCAAAACAGCCTCACTGTAAATCTCCCCACCTGTAACTTGTCTATTCCTCCTGATAAAAATGTAAGACAAAACAATCCTGCTGAGACACTGATTTCTAAGTCTGGGATGTCTTCTTATTGCAATAGTGTGAATAAAATCAATCTCCTTACCTGTTCAGGTGTTTTTGACACTACTCTTTCCAATGCACCACATTCATTTTTATAAGTTAGCCTTATATAAAAACTTTCCAACTGCCCCCAGAAATATGTAATAAATAGTGGGTTCTATTGTCTATAGTTTTATTTACTTATAGTGTTCTTCTCTGGCCTTGCTATCAGTTTTTAAACATAATCCTATATAATAAAAGTCTAATATGCAAATTGTCCCCTTGACTGGGAGTTCGACCGGGAGTTTGACCAGGGGTCAGGGCCAGCTGGCCAACTGCCTATGGCCCCTCCCCTTGGCTGGCCTGGCCCGATTGGCCCAGATTGGTTGGGCTGGCTGGACCCCACCCATGCACGAATTTGTGCACCAGGCCACTAGTAAGAGATATAAAGTGACAAGATGTGCTGAAAAGGAACTTTGAGATAGCATGAAGAAAAAATTATTTGTTTGTCTTTTCATATTTTCTTTCATCTGATCTTTCATCTCTTATATATCTCACTTATTTTGTCAGGTTTCTGAATCTTCCCTCTACCTGAGGTGGTTAGGTGAGTAGGTGAATATCGATGGTGGTGATGAGGTGGGGTAGAAAAACCTTTCAGAGGGAACAGGGAAATCTTTCAACTTATTTGTTCCTGGAGAGAAGCCTGATATGCTTAGTTAAGTAGATCTAAGGTACATATTTAATAAAGAAAAGTTATATGTGAAATGAATTTAGGTTATATGCAAACATAAAAGCAACTAAATGAGAACTAAGGAAATAAGACAGGACACATTAACTGTGCCCAACTAGTTAAGAGCCTTGAATGCTAAGCTCAGGAATTTGGACTTTTATCCTCCTGGCATCAATAGGTGATATTAAAGGCTCCAGACTGCTCTCTGCAAGTATACCATCCCGAGTTACAAAGGGATAGAAAATTCATAATTGGAGCATGTATCTTTCTATGCTCTTCTCCACCAAGTTACCTGTTATGAACTGAATGTTTGTGTCCCTCCCAAAATTCATATATTCAAGCCCTAACCCCAAAAGGGATGGTAGTAAGAGTTGGGTCCTGTGGGAGGTAAATAGGTTTAGATGAGGTCATGAGTGTGGAATCCCCATGATGGGATTAGTGTCCCTCTAAGAAGAAGACATTACAATGAGCTCTCTCAGCCATGTGAGGATAAGTGAGATGGTAGCTGTCTATAAGGAAGTAGGCTCTTACCATTTTCTGCTGGCACTTGATCTTGGACTTCCCAGCCTCCAGAACTGTGGGAAATTGTTCAAGCCATGAAGTCTATAGATCTTTGGTTATAGCAGCCCAACCCAATTAAGACATATCTCTCCTTCAACTGTTCGCTGGGACCACAAACATTTTCCTCTTTCAAACCTCCTTCATCTCCAATATTTCCATGCTCAGACCCACTTGTGTCTTTTTCCTTTAACCATATCGGATATGCACAGAAATCATGTGTTGGGAATTGTACTCTAGTCCATCCTCTGGATGATCATGGAAGAGCTGGGGGAGGGTGTTGAAGAGCTAACCCAGGGTGGCCATGCTGCCTTTCTAGACAGGGCTGAAGAGAACAAATAACTCCTCCATTGCCAAGACTTTTATTACCTCAAAGTAATAGATCTATATTTTATAAATTTATCTGCACTTGCACATTTTTTTTGCTTATGATTTAAAATAGTACATAATTTGGGCTGGGGTTTTGGAGGGCCTGGTGGTGGGATAGGGCCACAGATTATCTGAAGGCATAATGCCTACCATAGCAATAAAATTCCAGTTGGAAAGTAAGAAAGATATTGAACAACCGGCACATGGGTAGGTGAAACCTTGAATAATGCAGGACATTTGTGATTTTTAAAACTCCCTCCTTCTAGAGATTTTCATTTTTCTAGCCTCACAGTATTTCAGAGAGATTAGAGACAAAAGAGAGAGCATAGTGTCAAGCAATAGTGGTGCTTTGGGAATAAGGACAGCCTGGGCATCTCCCAGCTTTCCTACGAGCTAGTTGAATAACTTTGGGAAGTTGATTTTAACTTTCTGCAAGTTAGTGTCACTACCTCTTTAAAAATGTGATGGTAACAGTTACCCCTATCCTTATCCATCTTTATATCCTCAACTAGAGGCCCAGTGCACAAAAATTTGTGCACTCGGGGGGGGGGTCCCTCAGCCCGGCCTGTGACCTCTCACAGTCTGGGAACCCTCGGGGGATGACTACCTGCTGGCTTAGGCCTGCTCCCCGGGGGATTGGGCCTAAGATGGCAATCAGACATCCCTCTGGCAGCCCGGCAGCCCTCAGGGGATGTCCACTTGCCAGCGGGGAGCAGACCTAAGCTGCAGTCAGACATCCTTAGTGCTGCCGAGGAGGCAGGAGAGGCTCCCACCACCACAGCTGTACTAGCAGCCATCAGCCTGGCTTGTGGCTGAGCAGAGCTCCCCCATGTGGGAGCGCACTGACCACCAGAGGGCAGCTCCTGCATTGAGCATCTGCCCCCTGGTGGTCAGTGTGTGTCATAGTGACCAGTCATTCCCAGTCTTTCTGCTGTTAGGGTCAGTTTGCATATTACCCTTTTACTATATAGGATAGAGGCCTGGTGCACAGGTGGGGGCC